TGTGACGCATGGGCTTAGTTGCTTCGCGGCATGTGGGATCTTCCCAGACCAGGGCTCGAACCTGTGTACCCTGCACTGGCAGGCAGATTCTTAACCACTGCACCACCAGGGAAGCCCCAGGAGCTCTTTTTGATCACACCTGACTTTATGTTAATGAGGTGACTTAGGGTAGGGACCCCTAGCTGGCCACCAGAAAGACCAAGGGATTAGAAGGTTGGAAATTTCAGCCCTATCCAGACTTAAGGAAAAGTGGGGAAGGGGTGGTAGTGCTGGTGATTAAGCTCCATAAATACTTGAACCAAGATTTGATGAGCTTCTTGCTTGGTGAACACATCAAGAGGTGCTGGGAGTGTGGTGCACCCAGAGAGGGTGGTAAGGCACCACCCTTACCTTGCCCAATTTCTCTCTTCCATTTGGCTGTTCCTGAGTTGTATCCTTTATAGCAAACTGGTGAATGAATATGTGTTTCTCTGAGTTCTGTGAGCCATTATAGACAATTATCAAACCTGAGGAGGGAGTCGTGGGAACCCTCCATTTGTAGCCAAGTCAGACAGAAGTGTGGGTAACCTGGGGACCCAGTACTTGTAATTGGCATCATGTGACAGGCAGTCTTGTGGGACTGAGCCCTTAACTTTTGGGGTCCATGCTAACTCCGGGTAGGTAGCATCAGAATTGAATTGTAGGACATTCAGTTGGTATCTGCAGAGAACTGGAGAATTGCTTGGTGTGGAAAACCCACACATTTTGGTGTCAGAAGTATTTGAGTGGAGAAACTGATCTTCACAGGGAGATACCCTGAATTATCCAGTTGGGATGTAATCACAATGGTCTTTATAAGAGAGATCTAGGATCAGAGGAAGAAGGTGATGTGAAGACAGAAGCATTTGCACTGGTGTACCTAGGAGGAAGGGATCGCAAGTCAAGGGGCATGGGTGGCCACTCACTACCAACAGCTTGACATTAGCCCACTGAAACTGATTTTGGACTTCTGACCTCCAGAACTGTAAGAGAATATATCTGTGATGCTTTAAGCCACAGAGTTTGTGGTAATTTGTTACAGCAGCAACAGGAAAACTAAACAAGAGGTATTTGGATGCTAAGGAAGTAGGATCTCAGGCATGAGGTTTCCAGCTTTGTCCGCAACAAGCAGTCCTGCCCTAAGCATTGCACAGATGCGCCAGAGCTGTAGGAAGCAGGTGGACTGGAAAGGAGGACATCTCAAAGGTAGAGATTTGGATTCCACCTCTGGAACCTTGCTTGCTAAGGGACTAGTGCAGTGGTTCTAAGTATGATCTGGGAATCCTTAGCATCCCTGAGATTCTTAAAATGAACCCATGAAGTGAAATCCATTTACCATGCTGCTACTAAGACATTGTCTTTTCACTTTCATTCTCTCATGAGTGTAGAGTTTCCTGAGGCTGCAGGACATAATATGTGATAATGCAACAGACTGAACATAGAAGCACATATGAGAAGCCAGCTGTCTTCTATTAAGCCAGACATTAAGCAATTTGCAAAAATGTAAAACAATGCCATTCTTCTCATTTTTGTTTTGGAAAATGTTTTTCACAAAAACATTGCATTAACATGGAATGGTCTGATGTCATTTAAAAACAAATCTTTTAATAATTATTTGGTCTTGATATGGTAAGTATCAATAGACATAACCCACATAAATAAAAAATTCTTTCATATCTTTAATAATTTAAGACTGTAAAGGGCTCCTGAGACCAAAAAAAGTTGAGAACCACTGCTTAATGTACAGAAAATTTCTTGTGGCCATTTTTACAATCTACCACATATATATAATCTTTTTTACCAAAATGATACTATGTACTTTACACTTTTTTTTGTATATTTGTGATTATTTCTTCAAGATTCCTAGAAGTGGAGTCTTGATACATAAAGTTGCTGTCTTGAATATTCTGCCCATCTGTATTCCACAAGCAGTTCATGAATGTTCATTTCAACAAATCTTCAACAACATGAAGTGTTAAAATATATTTTGCTAATCTTAATAGGTAAAATCAGTATCATTTTAAATGTACATTTCTTTACTAGGGAAACTAGATCTTTTTCCGTAAATACTAGCAATATATGTCTTATTTTGTGAATTGCCTTTTTGTCTATCAAGATTTTAGTCTTTTTCTTACCAATCTGAATTTTTAACAATTTATATTTTGTGGGTATCAATCTTGTCATTTTCTTTTTTTCTTGTGGGGGGCGGAAAGGGATTTTTTTTTTTTTGTTTGGGGGGGGGGGGGGGGGGGGGGGCTGCACCACACAGCTTGTGGTATCTTAGTTTCTTGACCAGGGACCGAACCTGTGCCCCTTGCAGTGGAAGCTCGGCATCTTAACAGCTGGACCCCAGAGAAGTCCCTTCACAACAGTTCTTATGCAGTTACTTCACTCTTTGTAACACTACATCATACTCCAACATATGGATGTAAACTACTGATCCCCTACTGATGGAACCTTTGCTGCTGCAATGAACATCCTTGCATATACCTAAGAACTGGGGTAAATCTGCACAAACAGAACCTATTTTTCAACACCCTGAAGGTAGCTCTAGCCCTAAGCTCACAGACACTGATAAATCACAATACCTTTTCTTTATCATAATATATCTGTCAAGTGGACCAGATGCTTGCATTGGCCTGAGCCATGTTTCCTTGCTCCTGGGTAACCTACTTGACAAGTCAAATTATCATTACTATTTAGTAGGCACCAGTCACATGGTGGGAAGGGCAGTTCAACATACAGGGTGTGCAAAAGCTCTGAAGCAGGCAAGACAGCCCAATCTGAGGAACTAAAAGAAACTTAATATGTTGAGGGGCAGAGTAAAAATGAGTCGACTGGAGAAATGGGCCCATCAGAGGACTCGTGGCCATAACTTTGGAGCCAAAAGAGTGATAAGGAGCCACTTAAAGGGCTTTAGTCAGAAGTGATGTTGGAGTTTGTTTCAAAAAATGCATCAGAACTTATCACTATATACCTATCAGTACAAACCTACTGGAACCGTTAGAATTAACAAAGACAATCATGGGAATGTCATGTACAGCATGATGACTATTGTTAATAACACTATATTGTATATTTGAAAGTCATTAAGAATAGATCTTAAAAGTTCTAAAAGTTCTCATCACAAGAAAAAAAAATTTATAACTATGTATGGTGATGGGTGTCAAGTAGACTTGTGATCATTTTGCAATATATACAAATAACAAATCATGCTGTACACTAAAACTAACTTGTCAATTATACCTCAATTAAAAAAAAAAAACCACCCGAAAATAGCCAGTGCTGAGAAGGAAGTGGAATAATTGGAACTGTTAACACATTGCTGGTGGGATACAAAATAGGTTTGAAACTTTCTTACAAAGTTAAACTACACAACCCAGCCAATCCTACTTGTAAGTATTCTAACCCAAGAGAAATGGAAACATATGTCCACACAAAACCCTGTATGTGAATGTTAATAGTGGCTTTATTCATAATCTCCAATAATTATAAACCCAAATATCTTTCAATGGGTATTATTTTAGAATAAAGAGTGACACACTGATACAATAGAATGCTGACAAAAAGAACTACTGAACCATTAATGTGAACAAATGTCACAGATATTATGCCACAAAACATATTACATGATGTTCTGGAAAAGACAAAACTAGAAAAACAAAAATTTTATCAGTGGTTACTAGGAGTGGAAACTGACTTTTGGAAGGAACTTTGGTGGTGCTTCCCAAACTGCAGAGGCCACAGCACTGCACACACAAAACATCAATTTTACCAAATGTAAATTATCAATAAAATAACTTTAAAAACCCATGTCTAATGACACATCATTTTAGGGAGCCTGTAGGGTAACGGGCACTCTTATACATGAGTATAAATTGGTACAACCTCCATGGAGGGCAGTTTGGCATCACCTACCAAAACTGCCTAAATCCTGACTCAGCAAAAATCTACTGCTTACCTGATGCTTGGTCATCTGTGTGCACACATTAAGTTACTCACTACATCGCACTCTGTGACCCAGCACTTTCTGAAAGTTTGCTTTAACCAAAAGAACTTCATTTGTACCTGTCTTTGTTAACTGGAAAAAAATCAAGATTTTCACTTTTATGAAAAGAGGCAAAGGGGGAAAACAGCGGTTTTGGTTTGCAGAGAGCCACTAGAGACAGCAGCATGTCTGGGCAGTGGGAGTGGCACCGCCAAGCTCCTTCCCTGGTATTACACTCTGGCATCTCAGCATCCAGAGCCATCACTTTGAACTGTGAGCATCTGTGTTTTATCCCATTTTATGCCTCTGTTAGCAAGATGTGTCATAAGGTAATTTCTTTACTTTATGCCATTTTGGCATACAAAAGGTTTCAGAAGCATACTCTACTTTTGGATAGCAGGGGAAACCTGTATAATTACAAATGATGGAAACCCAAATATCCATAGAATGCACTACTACACTATGCAGCAGTAAAGATGGACACTTCCTATGGAATAATCAAATTCATTTGTTATCTATATAACAGCATGTACTGCACATGGGGTTTTTGGTTAAAAACGAGGAAAGGTAAATAATTATACTAATTTGTTGTGTATGCTTTAAGAAACTAGATACACAAGAAGCTAATAGTAATGACTATGGAGAGGGGCTGAATTGGGCAGAAATGGATGTTAAGTCATGGAAAGGGAGCAAAGTTTGTGGCCTGAGAGCCCACACTTGTTTCTTATCCATGTACCGTTAGTACTGACCTGTTCAGTGATGGCTGCGGAAATGCCACGACTTTGTATTGGTAGGTGCCGGGTGAAAAAGCTGAGAAGACACTTAGGAAGCTAAGGATGTTGATCCAAAGAGGGGATTCCACTGCAGCTGATAGCACTCCCCTCCAATCCCACTCCTCTTAGTAGAGGCTAACATCCCATCAAGTTGGCTGAGCCATACCACACCTTCAGGCAGATTAAAAAAAGAAAAAAGACACAAAGGAAATGGACCCAATTATTTAATTAGGTTCTTTGTAAGAAGTTTAGAACACTACTTTGTGAGGATAAATTCCGTTTGTAAGAGCGAACACAGAGCGGAGGTAGCCCTGGAGCTGAGGAACAGCTTTGATTCTTCGCAGAATTTGTGAGTCCACAGCTTTCTGATCAATCTTCCGCTGCTCTGTAATCTCGTATTTCTAAAGAAAAAGAAAAATCATTAAAAAAAAATGGGCACAAGTACCAAACTCCACATTAACTAAGAAATCCTACATCACAAGTACTCAATCCCAGGAATATTTAGAAGGCAATTTTAAAAAATTAATTATTTTTATTTTCGGTTGTGTTTAGGTCTTCGTTGCTGCACACAGGCCTTCTCTAGTTGTGGCGAGCGGGGGCTACTCTTCGTTGTGGTGCGCGGGCTTCTCATTGTGGTGGCTTCTCTTGTTGCAGAACACGGGCTTAGCTGCTCCGCAGCATGTGGGATCTTCCTGGACCAGGGCTCGAATCTGTGTCTCTTGCATTGGCAGGTGGATTCTTAACCACTGTGCCACAAGGGAAGTCCCTAGAAGTCAACTTTGATAATTCTTTCCTTGGAGGGCTGTGAAATACAACCTATTTTTAACATAATAATAGCAACTCTTGGGCTTCCCTGGTGGCGCAGTGGTTAAGAATCCACCTGCCAATGCAGGGGACACGGATTCAAGCCCTGGTCAGGGAAGATCCCACATGCCGTGGAGCAACTAAGGCCATGAGACACAACTACTGAGCCTGTGCTCCAGAGCCCATGCTCTGCAACAAGAGAAGCCACCACAATGAGAATCCCACGCACCACAACAAAGAGTAGCCCCCGCTCGGCACAACCAGAGAAAAGCCCATGCACAGCAATGACGACCCAATGCAGCCAAAAATAAAATAATTTAAAAAATACTAATAACAGCAACTCTTATCCTTTTGTCTACTTTAATACCCAAAGGATAAATGATCGTAAATTCCCAACAGAACAGTAGTTCATGGAGTTTCACTAAAACCTCAGGATTCTGAGTTGAGCTCCTAGCTGCCATTCAGAACTACTGAATTCAGCAGAATCTGGAAAAATATTATTTCCCAGATAGTCCTCATTATTTACAGCTTTTCTTTTTCCAACAATTCTTAACCTTGTTTATTTTCACTCCCAAGTAGGAGAGCCAGAGCTATTAGAGGCAAAGACAGAAATAGCTTACCTCTCTCTCTGTGTCGAAGATCTCACCTTCCTGGTGCCTGGGCTTACGCAGTTTCTTCTTCTTGAAGTAAGCATCAGTGAGATGTTCTGGGATTTTCACACCACTGATATCAATTTTGGTGGAAGTGGCAATGACAAATTTCTGGTGTGTTCTCCGCAGAGGAACTCGATTGAGGGACAGAGGCCCTAAGGGGGGAAATATAGTGAGGGGAAAGGGGATACAAAGATTTAAGAACTGACTGGATTTGTTTTTTTGTTTTTTTTTTTTTTTTGCGGTACGCGGGCCCCTCACTGTTCTGGCCTCTCCTGTTGCGAAGCACAGGCGCCGGACGCGCAGGCTCAGTGGCCATGACTCACGGGCCCAGCCGCTCCACGGCATGTGGGATCTTCCCAGACCGGGGCACGAACCCGTGTCCCCTGCATCGGCAGGCGGACTCTCAACCACTGTGCCACCAGGGAAGCCCCAAGAACTGACTGGATTTGAAGAAACCTGTTGAAGTTCTAACTTTTCTCTGGATCCAAAGAAATTCCAAACTGCTTTCTACTGTCAGCATCAAGGCTTTTTTCAAGATCTTAGTTTGTCCAAGCTTCCCCCCACCCTCAAATTTTAAAGTTACCCAGATTAGGAGAGAGCACAGTCACTTATACAGGTTGGTCAAAAATCACTGGTCCTTGAGGACAAATTTAAACTGAGCACTGTTTTTTGGAGTAAACAGTTCACTTTTCCCCTATCCAGGAACTCCATCCTGGTGCCAAGTGGCAGACCAATTACAAGTCTTATGAAGGATGCACTCCTAGGAGTTAGTAGCCAACCATTCTGCATTTTAGGTGGCAGTTATACCTGGTGATATGTTGCCACGCAAACTTTAAACCTGCTTCCTCAGAACTCCCGTGTACATAAGGCAATGAAATAGGGCAAGGAATCTCATGACACTGAAACTTCTATTTAGGTGGGAGCAAAGTGTATACTTCAAGCATTTAAAAACACATGCTTCAGGACTTCCCCGGTGGTCCAGTGGGTAAGACTCTGCGCTTCCAATGCAGGAGTAACGGGTTCGTTCCCTGGTCGGGGAACTAGATCCCACAAGCATGCCAAAACTAATGATCCTGCATGCCACAATGAAGATCCCACATGCCACAGCTAAGACCAGGCACACCCAAAATAAATATTAAAAAAAAAATTTTTTTTAAATAAAAATACAACCTTCAAAACAGTAAATCCCAAGGGTTTTCATCACAAAGAAAAAAGTTTTTTCTTTTATCTAAATGCAAAGATGGATATTGAACCTACTGCAGTAATTATTTCACAATATATGTAAATCAAACCATCATGTTGTACACCTTAAACTCGCAAGAGTGATGCATATAAATTATTTCTCAGTAAAACTGAAGGTGGGGAGACCTGCAACTTTCAGAGTATATTAAATCCAAGGATTTTCTTACCAGTCACAAGTAGCAAGCCACTGCTCAGCTGCTTCAGGAAAATGACCCTCTGTAGATTAAAAAGAAATGCTAGATGGTTCCACAAATTAGAAACTGACTTCTGAATTAATCAAATCACAGGTTCCTAAATTTGGTAAAAAAGGAAATTTCTATATATGCATATGTACAGCAGTTCTGGAAGTAATGTACCAAACTAATAACAGGGGTGACTCTAGGATACGAGCAGTACTTTTGTGTGCTTGATTTTTAATGAGCAGCCACTACTTTTAACATTAAAAAAAAACTAGTACCCTTTAACTCAGTAATTCTATCCCTGCAAATCTATCCTAAGAAGTTAACTCAAGTACATAAACATTTCTGGGTACAGGGACATCTGAATCACTTGTAACAAGTAGTATTACCAACGACAGGAATTGGTAATAAGTTATTGTCTATTATTGACTAAACATGTTCTGATAGTGACTGGGTTGCTGGTTTTGTTATGGATCACTCTCACCTCTCCCACAGAACCTCTTGCTACTAACTGCAGTTAACACAGGTAAACAAATCCTATCCAGAGAGCAAATTTATTAGGATCAAGTACTCCAGGTACCTCAAGTGTCATGCTCTGCTCACCTTGCCTCTGTGGCGCCCAGTGAGGATAATCAGAATGGTTCCAGGAGTGATGCTAGCACGCAGTCTTCTCACATGCTTACTGAAGGGTTTTTTGCCGTGACTCAACAGCTTTCGAGGCACATCTTCAGTAGGATAATACCTAGGCTGGAGAGAGCCCAGATGTCCAACTTATTTAAATAATCTAATCAAGTCAGTAGAGCTGGTTGTGAGGTCAGTGAAACCTCCACTACAGTCCTGTAGTTACTTGAAACACTTTATTCACACTACTTCATTTTCGCTTCTAATGTTTTAAGGGTAAAAAGATCAACGCTGCTTCAATAGCTTTACATGCAAAACACAGGGTGGAATCCATCTAACTGAAGGAGCTGTGTCCAATCAAAGAGGGAAAGCATCAAGCAAGTTACCTTTGTAAATTTGGAATAAACCAAACTTTAGAGATTACATGGCAAGCTATCATTATACACTGTTGTGTAGCATTGATTCTCAAGCTTTTCTGGGGTCCCTACTTCTCCAGAAACACATGCCTGACACAATTTTGTATGTTGTGTAAAAAGGCGTGGCTTGTTTTCCAACTCAAATTAAGTGTTCATATGCTTGACATTAACATGCATCACTTCCATCTTATCCACAAAGAATAAATTGTATAAAACCATAGACATTAGTTTATATCAAGACTGCCAGTTCATTTATTGTAAAAATAAGACCCCACACAGGGCTCCCCTGGTGGCACAGTGGTTAAGAATCCGCCTGCCAATGCAGGGGACACGGGTTCGAGCCCTGGTCTGGGAAGATCCCACATGCTGCGGAGCAACTAAGCCTGAGCGCCCCAACTATTGAGTCTGCGCTCTAGGGCCCGCGAGCCGCAACTACTGAGCCTATGAGCCACAACTACTGAAGCCCCCGCGCCTTGCGCCTGTGCTCCACAGAGAAGCCCCTGCAAAGCAACCAAGAGTAGCCCCCTCTCTCTGCCACTAGAGAAAGCCCGTGCGCAGCAACGAAGACCCAATGCAGCCAAAAATAAATAAATTAATAAATTAATTTTTTAAAAAGACCCCACACAAAGACTTTTTCGCTTATGACAAGTAACTCAAAATAATCTATTTCTAACTATCATTTTAGTGGACGGTCTTCCTTTTACCACAAACATTAATACCTAATAGAAAAATCAGCTCACAAAACCCGTGACAAGAAGAAATCAAAGCGCCATTTTCCCTCTGGTGCAGTAATATTCAACTGTGAAGAGTGTAATACATCTGGAATAGTCCCGTAATGGAAATCACAGAGCAAACCTTTACTTTTCACAGAGAAAACGCTGGGTCTTGTGCATGGTAAAGAGGGGCCAAGAAACACCCACTCTAGTGGACAAACGTTCTACAGGTTTAGGCGCATCCTAGGCTCTACTATGGTAAGTCTCACAACAACCCTGTGAGTCAAAACTTTATTCCCATTTTACAAGAAACAAAAGCACAGAAAAGTAACTCTACTTAGGAACAGTAAATAAAAAAGCGAAGTTGCAAACCCAGAACTATCCTCCATTAATAATCCTCTGGTAAGCATACACTTCTAAAACCTGAGCACACACACAAAAATCCTCACAGGAGGGCTTCCCTGGTGGCACAGGGGTTAAAAATCACCTGCTAATTCAGGGGACACGGGTTTGAGACCTGGCCGGGGAAGATGCCACATGCCACGCCACGGAGCAACTAAGCCCGTGCGCCACAACTACTGAGCCTGTGCTCTACAGCTCACGAGCCACAACTACTGAAGCCCGTGTGCCTAGAGCCCGTGCTCCACACCAAGAGAAGCCATCGCAATGAGAAGCCCGCGCACCGCAACGAAGAGCAGTCCCTGCTCACCGCAACTAGAGAAAGCCTGAGCGCAGCAACCAAGACCGAACGTAGCCACAAAAAAAAAAAAAAACTCTCACAGGATTCAAGCTTCAACTAAACACCCAAATTACAATCTCCTCCGAATCTTACCATTTTGCGAAGTTTAACCACCCGGGTACCACCATTCTTGTCACCACCAACCGGTTTTGTGACAGTAGCAAGAACCTTCACCTTCTTTTTCTTTTCAACCTAGTAGGACACAAACGCATCAAAAAGTCAGAGGCAGACAAACATTTTAATGTTAAGATATAATGCTCAGGGCTTCCCCTCATCCCTTACCTTGGATTTAGCTGCTGAATACTTCCTCTTGTACAAGGCCTTTCTGGAATACATAGCCGATCGGGAATATCTGCCAATTCCTCTGACCAGGACAGGGTTTCGGCTGCAGTGGGGCTTCCCCTTCTTAACCTGCTTCACCTTTTTAACCTTGCCACCAGCATCAGCCTTCTTGGCTTCAGGTTTTTTCTCCTTAGTATCTGGCTTCTCAGGCTTTTCACCCGCCATCTACCAATACATGTATTTTTTAAAAAGACATTTCACCAATTATCTCATAGCTATACATCGACAGGCCTCCCAGACTGCAAGTCCTCGTCCTCCTTCTCCATCCTTTACATCCCTCCCACTATAAGATACAGGCCTTCCTCCAAATCGCCACACATCTGCAACAATATCCATAAATGGTTAACTTTTGGGTTGTCTCCCCAATACAGTATAACCTTCTTGACGATGTGAATATATCTCACAACTATTATTTGTTTGCTACATATATTTAGAGGTCAAAAGTCCCTATTCCATTATTTGTTTTACGAATTAGAAATCCTAGACTTAGCTTTAACAATCTCCACAGCCAGGAAGCAGCGAGGCTGCAACCTGAAACCGTTTGCTTTCAGGACTTTTGCTCTTATCAGACTGTCTCACTCAAGAAATTCCGTTTAGGAGGCGAAGACACACACACACACACAAATGGCCCAAACTCAGGCCAAACTGAAAAAAAGCGAAGCCCAGCAGGCGACTTCCGGCCGCGGACTTGGGGAGACGGGAAAAGTTGCATTTGTCCTCAGTCTCAAATCCACAACGTGGCGGAGACAAGCTCGGCGTCGTCTTTTGGAACCCAGGTCCGGAATTCAGAGCGCGCGCCGCCGCCCTTGTCCCTGCGGCCCGCTACGAATCCCTGGAGGGGCCCTGTTTCCCAAGCCCGAGAGGGTGGCGAGCAACCGGAGCCCCGGAGCCTCTGCAGCATTCCACCTCACACTGTTCGTGCCCCACAGCACCCTCTTCGTGCCCCACCATAAACCCAAGCGAGAGAAATGAAGCGTCTGAGAGGCCTCCCAAATGGCCCTGAGCGTGTCCGACCCCTGCAGTTGTCGACTTGATACCCTCCTGGTTAAGATGGCGAAGGATTGTGATCCTAAAATCGAGTATTGCAGAGAGGCCACGCCATTCTTACCTCGCAAGCTGGGAGAAAGAACTAAGGCATCGGCTTCCGGTCTATAAGCAATCACGGGAGGTGTCGTCTCACTTCCTTCCGGGTCAGGGGCCTCATGGGAAATGTAGTTTTTCTTCGTTCGTACTGTATACAGAGCTAATTTTCTCAATAGGAGGCGAAAGCGGAGAACTTTTTCTGAAAATGCTTCATTTTATAGACCAATAGAATTCTCAAAGTACTTTTGGGAACCGGCATAAAGTTGAAACTTTTTATATTTGCTTACCTGTGCTATACAATAGGAAAAAAGCTAGAATTTAAGATGAATAAAATATATTCCTGTTCTGAAGAACACACATTCTAGGGAAAAGCAAACAGGTAAATTAATAATTGTAAGTTATTTCTTCTGGGAGATTTAGGAAAGTTTTTCACCAGAGTTTGTTTTTGTGTTGGATTTGGAAGAATAGATACAAATTTGGCAGATGAAAGTGGCAATTGGAACAATAAATGCAAGAGGCATGGAGGCATCAAAGAGCATGGTTGTTTATTCCCTCTACAAGCATTTTTGGCCACTTTGTACTCTGTTTCTTCATTTCTAAAATGGAGATAACCATATCTACCTCACAGGGTTTTGGGGAAGATTAAGTAAGTTAATGTACATAAAATCACTAAGAATGGGCTTCCCTGGTGGCGCAGAGAGGCCCGCGTACCCCAAAAAAAAAAAAAAAAAAAAAAAAAAATCACTAAGAATGGTATTTGATGCATGGTAACGGCTAAATAAATGTTAGTTTTTGTTGTCACCACCACCAGCATCACCATCTACATCATGGTTGTGGATGATGTAATGGAGCAGAACCCTGTGGGATCTTACTATGTGCCAAGTATTCTGCTAAAAGTTATACACCAGGGATAAATAAGAGCAATGCTGTATGCTATGTGCCTAGAACTGTTCTATGAGCCTTGCTTTATTTTATTTAATCCTCCCAAAAATTCTATAGAGGATACTATTATGAGGAAACTGGAACTCAAAGAGGTGCAGTAACTTGCCCACAGCATGGACTGATCCATAAGAGTGCACTCTTTTTTTTTTTTTTTTTTTTTTCAGTACCCGGGCCC